GGATTTCTCAGTTCAGGATAAACCCTGAAGGCCATAGAGGAGTGGGATGATAGATTCAAAGTACTGAGAAAAAAAGTCTGCCAATTATGATATTCTACCAAGCAAAACCATCCTTCAAACATAGGAAAGGCAAAAATTTTCACAAACAAGTGTGAGAGATTTCATTATCAACAAGAAATTTTATAGAGTTCATCAAGTTGAAGTGAAAGGAATGCTAAAAAAATTTAAAAGTATAAAGTAATAGAAAATTCATTGGAAAAGGTAAATATATTAGACAAATACAGAGCTCTGTGTTACTATGATGGTGATGGATATAATACTTGTAATTTTAATATAAAAGTTAAAAGATGACAGTATTAAAATAATTACAAATATAAAATAAATCATTAATTGATGCACAATATTAAATATACTTAAATTACAACATTATTCACAAAGTATGGAGTGAGAAGAAATATTTGATTGAATTTGAGTTGTTACCAGCTTAAAATAGACCTTTTCTAATTATATTTTATGTAAGTTCACAAATATAATAGCTATAGAAGGTGCATAAATGAAAAGAAAAAAGAGCCTATCAATATAAAACAGTCACCAAAGCAAAAGGAAAACTACAGAGAGGAAGAGAGGGACAAAAGAACTTTCAAGAGGGGAAATAATTAACAAAATGACAATATTAAGGCCATTCCTAACAATAAGTACTTTAAAACAGCTAAACTCCCAAATCTAAAAATGGAGAGAGGATTAATGGATACTTCAACATCCCACTTTCAATAATGGAAACAGCATCCAGAGAAAAGTCACTAAGGTACAATGGACATGAGCAATATTTAGACCAAACAGACCTAACAATATATGCAGAATATGCTGTCCAAAAGCAGCAAAACACACTTTCTTTTCAAGTGCCTGGACAGAGTTCTTCAGGATAGATAGCGTATTATGGCACAAAAAATTCTTCAGAAACAAGATTGAAATCATATCAAGTATTTTTATCTCACTCCAAAAGGAAACTACAAGTCAATAATAGCAGGAGGACTGAAAAATTCAGAAATATGTTGAAGTCAAACAATATACTCTTGAACAAACAAGAGTTCAGAAATGAAATCAAAACGGAAATTAGAAAATATCTTGGAACAAACACACATTGTATGAAAACTTATGGGTTGCAGCAAAAACAGTACTAAGAGGGAAGTTTACAGTGATAAACACCTACATTAAAAAAGAAGAAAGGTCTCAAGCAGCTAACTTTATGTCTCAAGGCACTAGAAGAAGAAAAATTAACTAAGTCACAAGTTAGTAGAAGAAAGGAAATAAGAGATTAAAGTAAATTAAATGAATTACAGGATAGAAAGTCAACTGAAAACATAAACAAAATTACTAAGTTGTGGTTTTGAAAAGTCAAACAAAATTGACATACCATTAGCAAGATTTACTAGGAAAGAAAGAGAAAACTCAAATCAGAGATGAAATAAGAAATAGTAAAACTGATCCCACAGAAATAAGAATTATGCAAGACTACCCTGAAACATTATATACCACATACTGAATATTCTAGAAGAAATGGATAAATTCCTAGAAACATACTAATTGACTAAATCACAAAAAATTAGAAAAGTTCAACAGACCTATAACTAATAAGGAGATTAACTTGGTAGTCAAAAACTTCCCAATAAAGAAAAGCCTAGAACTAGATGTCTTCATTATTCAATTTTCTCAGTCATTTAAATAATTTATGAAAATTCTTCTCAAATTTCCAAAAATTTGAAGAGAAGGAAACACTCAAACTCATTAACAAAGCTGGCATCACCCTGATAGCAGAGTCAAAGAAAGACACAAAACTATATGCCAATACTGTTGATAAACAGAAAAAGATGCAAAAATCATCAACAAACTATTTAGAAAATTTAATCCAATAACAACATAAAAAGATCAAGCACCAACCAGGCAAAATGGGTCTTCTCTCTGGGATGTGAAGGTGACTCATGATACAAAAATCAATGAGATATCAAATTAAAAGAAAGAAGGGCAAAACTCCCAGGATCATCTCAATGGACAAAGAAAGTCATTTGATGAAACTGAGCATCCTTTCATGATAGAAAAAAATCCAAAAAAAATAGATACAGAGGAAATTACCTTAACTGAAAAATAGGTGGAAGAACTTAGAGAAAATACAAATAGATGGAAAGACATCTCATGTTCATTGATTGAACAATTTAATACATTTTAAATGTCCATACCTTCCAAAATGATCTACAGATTCAATGCAATTTGTACCAAAGTTCTGATGAATTTTAGTTTTTCAGAAATGGAAAAACAATTCTAAAATTCATGGAACTACAAAGGACCCCAAGTAGCCAAACCAGTCTGAAGCAAGAATGAAGCTGGACATATCACACTTACTGATTTCAAAATACATTGTAAAACTATAACAATTAACGCAATATGATATTGACATAAAGACAGACGTATAGATCAGTGGAACAGAATAGAAAGCCCAGAAATAAACCTAGGTGAATACAGTCAACTGATCTCCATCAAAGCACCTAAGGATACGAAATGGAGGAAAGATTGTCTCTTCAATAAATAATGTCTTAAAGCTGGATATCCACATGGATTAAAGATGAAGTTGAATTCTTTTCTTAGGCCACACACAAAAGTCAGAATGAATTGGCAACTTCACCATACAACCCAAAAGTAAATCTTAAGAAAACTTCTTTACATTTCTCTTGAAAATAATTTCTTGAATATGAAAGCATAGGCAACAAAAGCAAACACAAACAATTGGGGTGACAACAAACTAAAAAGCCTCCGCACAGCAAAAGGAACAATCAACAGGGAGACAAAGCGACCTATGAAACAGGAGAAAAGGTGTTTAAACATTTGTTATATCAAATACATCTGAGAAGAGGCTAATACCCAAAATATATAAAGAACCTACAACTCAACAGCAAGAAAACAAGTAACCCAGTTTTAAAAATGCCCTAAGGACTTGAACAGACATTTTTTCCAAAAAAATAATCACACACACACACAAATAGCTAACAGGTATATGAAAAGATGTTCAAAGCCATGAATCATCAGGAAATGTAAATCAAAACCACAATAATATATCATCCCAAACCTAAGATTACCATTACTAAAAAAACAAATAAACAAAAGATAACAAATGTTAGCAAGGATGTGGAGGAATTAGAAACCTTGTGCACTGTGAGTGGGAACATAAACTGGTACAACTGCTATAGTACAGAGATTCTTCAAAAAATTAAAAGTAGAACCACCATGAGATCCAACAATCCTGCTTTATATTCCTAAATAAAAATTGAAATTAGTTTCTTAAAGAGATATGTAGACACTGTGTTCATTGTAGCATTATTCATAATAGCCAAAAAATTGGAAGCAACCCAAATGTTTATTGACAGATGACTAGATAAGTAAAATGGATATAAATACAAAGAATGGAGCATGATTTAGTCTTATAAAAGATTTATGATATATATGATGGCATGAATAAACCTGGAAGACATCATGCTAAGCAAAATAACCCAAATAAGAACAAGCATTATAGGACATCACTTACATCAGATATATAAAATAGCCAAATTCACAGAAACAGAGAGAAGAATGGTGGTTTTTAGTTCTTGTAGAGGGGAAATGAGTATTGCTATTTGATGAGTATAAAGATTTAGTCATGCAAGATGAACAAATTCAAGAGATATACTGTATATTATCATGCCTATAGTTAATACTATATTATCCACTTTACAATTCACTTAAAAAGGTATATCATGCTGTTAAATATTCTTAACACACTAAAAATAAAATTAGAAAACATGCTTAAAATGATATTTAGTAAGATTTTGAAAATTGTTAATCATCAGATTTTAGAATAATTTCCTATGGAAAATGTGGAAATGTCATCATTTAAGACATTTGGAACCAGATTGAAGCAATGCACACAAACACATACAGTTGGCCCTGTTCTCTGTACGTGGTGACGAAGCCCACACAGGCATGACCTAAGACATCACGAGATTGCACAGCCTGTGTGCACCCATTGGACCACCCACTGCTGAGGGGGATGAAAGAGGAAGATTGGGCTGGCACTGATGACTCACATCAGGAAGACTTGCTCAGCTTGTTCCTGGCTCAGTTACAACGTCCCCAGCATGCTAGGAAAGAGCTTCACACCAAGTCACCGTAACCCTAGCTCGATGAAGTTTCCAGGGAATATAGAAGGCTCTTCTTCACCCCACTCTACTTATTTCAATTTGCTTGTGTTTTGTTCTAAAACAGAAGCAACTCACAACACACCACCTATGCAGAACAATCAAATCCTTAGACCAGAGGTCACCAAACTACAGTCCAAGTGCCAAATCTGGCCCACAGCCTGTGTCTTTAAATAAAGTTTTATTGGAACACAGCCAAGCCTATTAATTTTCACAGTGTCTGTGACTAAAATTCTTACGATATGTGCCTTTGCTAATAGTGACCATAGCCTAAGGCCAGTACCTTTGACAACACTAAAATAAGCTTAACCAAGGTAAAATATATAAAAATCCCTGCCTTCCTTCCTTCTTAAAGGTATGGAATACAAAAAATATTAATTGAAAGTGGAGCAGAATACAACTTTCCGTGATCCAGTCCAAACTAACACTTGGCAGAGTCTGGAGTGCACATCTGTGACATCCCAGAAGAGTGCAGCAGTTAAGAGTGCAGGCACTAGATTCACACAAACCTGAGTTTCAATTTACCAGCTGTGTGACCTTTGACAAACTACTTAATTTTTGTAGGCTTTGCCTTGAAATAAAGTCAAGTATATGCTGTAGCTCAAAGGGCTCTTATGAGGAGTGAATTACTGTTTATAAAGCATTTAACATAGTGCCTGGTTTACTAGTAAGTGCCCAAAAACCCATCTAAGATTCACATTATGATTACTATTGCTAACAGAAATCAAAACATAAGAAGATCATTTCCCAAGACTGAATATGAAGCTTAGACATTACCTGTGCAGTTTTCTCCAGGATATCCACAGGAAAGGCCATTCGTTTCTGGACTTCTGGTGGAATTCCCACTAGCCACCACACAGTGGAGAATCACCAGCCCTTCAAGTTCAAAACAGAACACAAAACAAATGTGAAAACTTGCAAAGTTTCTTACTGTGCAATCTGCAAAGTCATGCTTTACTTCTCTATATAGTAAGACTGTGGCTTCTATTTCAAAGTCTTTCTCTCCGAGTCTGAGAGAGGTTCTGAGGCTACCGGGTCTCATTTATTTTTGTAATATTTATTTATTTGAAAGGCAGAGTTACAAAGAGGCAGAGGCGGGGAGCGGGGGGATTGTGTCTTCCATACGCTGGTTCCAAATGGCAAATGGCTCCCCAAATGACTACAATGGCCAGAGCTGGGATGATCCAAAGCCGGGAACCAGGAGCTTCTTCCAGGTCTCTCACGCGGGTACTTGGGCCATCTTCTACTGCTTTCCCAGGCTATAGCAGAGAGCTGGATTAGAAATGGAGCAGCCAGGATTCGAACTGGTGCCCATGTGGGATGCCGGCACTTCAGGTGGCGGTTTTACCCACTACCCCACACACTGGCCCCATCATTTATTTTTTAGCTCAATGCTAAAGACGGAATTTTCAAACCAGCATCACATACATATAACTACATTTCTCAGGGGAGGAGACTTGGCTGTAGAATGTGTTGGAGCTGTCTCACAAAAGCAGAGAAGCAGAGGAGCTGAGTGCCCGGTCACCAGATGAGTGCACTGATCTCACACAACAAGCACCTCCCCCAGTCCATAAGGATTGCTCCACAATACCAGCGTCCCACAGACATTAACTACTGAGGGCACTTCCTTCTTAGGAGATGGGAATTAGATGTTTGATTCATGGGAATGCTTTAAAAATCTTGGGCCCCCTGGCTAGGTGTCTCTGTCTCTGAGAAGGACAGTCCTCATGCCTTGCGGAGGGAAAGGAATTCTATATTATGGTTAGAATGGCTCCAAAGAGTGTCTTTCTGTGGACCCTGATTCAAACAAATCAAGCACAAAAGCTCACTAATGAGATAATCAGGGAGATTTGACACTGTCTAGACATTAGCTTGCTAAAGATATTTTAAAGTACAAGTATCTTATGGTTTAGGTTAACAACCAGAGTCCACATCTCTTAGAGATACATGTTTAAATACTAATGAAATAACATATCTGAGATTTGATTTAAAATAACCCAAAGCAGAAAGGGGGTAAAAGTGGTGAGGGAAAGGTGTAAATGAAACAAGAGGACCACCTGTTTCAATTGTTGAAGCTGGGTGGTAGGTGTATTGTTCATTATGTTGCCCTGTTTATTATACATATTTTATTTCTATAATAAAAAGATGGAAGAAAAGGAGAGGAGAAAAGGCAAGGGGGAAGAAAGATAGTTTAGGAATTACTTGGTCTTGAGTTCAAGACCTTTGCCAGTGTTACCTATGTTAAATATGCAGAGCACTTAGCACAATGCTGCCATATAATCAATGCTCAATAAAAATGACTCATTATCATGTAGCTGACCGGAATAAAAAAAATCAGTTCACTAAAGGAATTTTAACATCAGGCCAATGGTATCTAAACTATGCATGTCCTCCAATTCAGTTCAGTTCAACAAATATCTATAGCTTCCAGGAACACACAGGTGAATAGGACATTTGACCCTCTGTGGTGGAATAAGAAGGCCATGCCAAGATGGCCACTGGCAAGCGAGTGTCAGTTACTCAGGAATGGCTTCGAAACCCACCTGGCAACTGAGCCTGCCTGGCAACAGGCTGTGATTGGTTAGGGCATCAACCGCCCCTTTACCAGATTGGCTGCCTTGGCTATTTAAGCTGCTGTACCAACTGAAATAAAGGAGTCTGTGGGCTGCTCGCCTCTGGCCTGCTTTCACCCGACTCCCAGGTTCTGTGTGGTGACTCTACACCTCTTGCCCCCACCACACTCCTCTTCTCAGAAGGAATCCACAGCAACAACCCTCAAGTTGCTTCAAAGCTACTAAGGAAGATAATCAGGCAACCAACCGGCAATCACACAAAGTGATAGTGCTGTTCTAGCAAACAACAGTAGCTAGCAAGTTCAAGGTCAAAGAGTTTTCAAATAAAAGAGGTTTTCCACCTATGAAGTTGGAAAGTGGTTTATTAAGTAAAGAGATAATAGCCAGTGTTAGAAACAGTGAAGAGAAATGTAAACTCAAATCTACTAATGATGGATAAATCAGTTCTGCTTTTCTGGAAGATAATTTTGCACTGTCTAGAGCATAAAAGAAAAAAAGAAAAAACACACCAAAAATGCACAAATCCTTGAATTCTGTAACTACACAGTAAGTAAGTAATTCCAAGCAGTTAATTCAGGATATATAGAAAGATTTAGCTACAAAAGTTCTCTATCTGGCATGACTTATTACAAGAGTGTCAGTTTGTTAAGTCAACAACAGGAGTCACTGTGCACTTACTCCTCATGTAGGATCTCTGTCCTTAATGTGCTGTACATTGAGATTTAATGCTATAACTAGTACTCAAACAGTATTTTTCACTTTGTGTTCCTATGTGGGTGCAAACTGTTGAAATCTTGACTTAATATATATTAAACTGATCTTCTGTATTCAAAGAGAATTGAAAATGAATCTTGATGTGAATGGAAGGGGAGAGGGAATGGGAAAGGGGAGGGTTGCGGGTGGGAGGGACGTTATGGGGGGGAAGCCATTGTAATCCATAAGCTGTACTTTGGAAATTTATATTCATTAAATAAAAGTTAAAAAAATAAAAAAAGTAACTTAAATATCTAATAATACAAAATATATTGAACTATCTTTATACAATAAAAAGTGATTTTATCATAAAAATGATGGAAATACTTTAATAGAACATTTCAGTAAACTCCTACCAAGAAAGCAGACTCTGGAATAGCAATAAGTATCACATACTTGGGTTTGTGTCTGGTGTATGTGAGACAAGCATAGAAAGCTATTGTTATCCATAGTGACAACCCTGCCTGAGAAAACAGAACTGCTCACATTGGATAGCAGGGGACTTTTCCCTTAATTTTGTCTATTTGCACCTCCTAACTTTTTCCCAAACATATTTCATTGCAAGAGAAAAAAAGGAGTAGCTAAATTTTTATTTTCTAATCAGAGTTTAGTCACTAAATTTCTAGATTATTTGCACCTCTTCCTACTCCCTCTCCCCTTCCATTCACATCAAGATTCATTTTCAATTCTCTTTATATACAGAAGATCAGTTTAGCATACATTAAGTAAATATTTCAACAGTTTGCTCCCACACAGAAACAGAAGAGGGAGTGGATAAGGGGAGGGTTGCGGGTTGGAGGGACGTTATGGGGGGGAAGCCATTGTAATCAATATTCTGTACTTTGGAAATTTATATTCATTAAATAAAAGTTAAAAAACAAAAAAAGAAAAATAAATAAATAAATAAATCTTAAAAGAACTATAAACATCAATAAAACACAAATGAAAATTGAAAAAAAAAAAAACAGAGTTAACACAGGAGAGAGAATCAACTCTGCCTAGCGGCAAAGACTTCATAAAGAAATTGAGCTTCATGATGAGTTTTTAATGAAAAATAAATGATGTTTTTAAACATCAATTATCCCAGAAACAAAAAAAGTTTCAACCCTATAACAATGATAGTATATTATTTGTTTCAGCAGTGAATAGTTTGTTTGTGGTTATGATAATGTCAACACTGATATTTTAACAAAAAATGTCATAAAATCAAAGCCAATAATTAACCCACACATACCATGTAGGATAACTGGCAGTGATAAATGAGAGGCTGCACTGTGCTAGCTCTTCCATTCTTTGAATAACCTCCCTATAGTTAACTATACAGGAATGATGAGAGAAGATCTTCCATTCTTTGAATAACCTCCCTATAGTTAACTATACAGAAATGATGAGAGAAAAGGTGCTCAGTAGGTAAGATCTAAACTTGACACATGAAGAAGTAGCGTTATAAGCAAATTATTTAGCAATACAGAGATGAATACCAGAAGAAACATCTAAAAAACTCAAAAGTGATTGCCTCTAGGGAGGTGGAGAGGGATCTGTGGTTTGTTGTTATATTCCTTATAGTGCTATTGGGTTCTTTTTCAAAGATTTATTTATTTATTTGAAAGTCAGAGTTACACAGAGAGAGGAGAGGCAGAGAGAGAGAGAGAGAGAGAGAGGTCTTCCATCTGATGGTTCACTCCCTAGATGGCCACAGTAGCCGGAGTTGTGCCGATCCGAAGCCAGGAGCCAGGAGCTTCTTCCAGGTCTCCCACATGAGTGCAAGGGCCCAAGGACTTGGGCCATCTTGTACTGCATTCCCAGGCCAAAGCAGAGAGCTGGATTGGAAGAGGAACAACTAGGAGTAGAAGTGGCATCCATATGGGATGCTGGCACTTCAGGCCAGGGCATTAACCTACTGCACCACAGTGCCGGCCCCATGGATTTTTTTTTTTTAAAATCTATGTATACATATTACTTTATTAAAAAAAACTAGTTTTAAGAAAAGGATAAAAATGTTGTTACCTAGGAATTATAAACAAAGAAATAACTTGTAAACAAAAGAGACAATTTGTGGGACCAGCAGGTAAACCCATTGCCTGTGGTGCCAGCATCTCATATGGGCACTGGTTCAAATTCTAGCTGCTCCACTTCTGATCCAGCTCTCTGCTATGGCCTTGGAAAGCAGCAGAGGATGGCCCAACTCCTTGGGTCCCTGCATCCATGCCAGACCCACAGGAAACTCCAGATTCCTTGCTTTAGATCAGTCCAGCTCTGGCCATTGCACTATTTGGGGACTGAACCAATGGATGGAAGATCTTGCTCTCTGCTTCTGCCTCTCTGTGACTCTGTCTTTTAAATAAATAAATAAATCTTAAAAAAAGAAAGACAATTTGTAAAAACAAAAAATGGTATTAAATAACTCGCCAGCTTGTTTGGAAGGTTTGGGTGGGGACTGTGGTAGCAGAAGGAGGCAAGAGAGCAAGTGTGTAACAAAAAGATGCATCTCATAATAATGAGTTTGGATTTTATTATGCAGCTGAGGCCACTGGCAAGTTTTACATGAGA